ATGGATGGATGGATGGATGAGTTGATGGATGGATGGATGAGTGGATGGATGGATGAGTTGATGGATGGATGGATGAGTTGATGGATGGATGGATGGAAGGATGGCTGGATGGTCTTGGACTTTATGAACTTGTTTAAAAACCAGAAAGTTCTTTGAAGTCCAACTTGAGGAAACGTACCTGCTAGTTTCCTGAGCAGGTCTGAGGCCAGCGTGTCCGTGGCTGCGTTCCCGTCAGGCGTGTGCGTCAGCGACGGCGGCTCGGGACTCGCCCCGGGGCCGTCCGGCGAGAAGGCGACGCCGGGCTCGTCCTGCTGCTCCGCCTCCTCCCGGCTCCCAGGATGCACCTGGGCCTTCTGAGTGGCCTCTGAAGGGAACAAGAGGGAGAGTGAGGTGTTCAGAAGGGCCTGTTGACGGGACTCTCCCTGAAGGAGAAGGTTTGGACTCAGCAGGACCAGCGGTCGGAGGAGGTCCCAACAAGAACTCCAGACCATCTCACCACATCTACGGCTCCAACAGCCTCAGCTCTTCTGCTCCCAGTCGTTCAGGAGGCTCCAGTTGTGCCAATAAATTGGTCTTTATGGTCATAAAATGTATTGTTGTGGTTTTCATCCCTGGTGGACTTCAGCTCCTTATTTACACGTTTTGAAATCAGCATTCACAATGTGTTTTCACAGGAAATGCAGTTTATCTAGTTTAAATTAATTTGAACAACTTTGTCAACAACCAAAAGAGTAAACGAGCAGCTGGTAGGCGCCGTAAGGGCTAAAGACTGAAGACCTCGGCTCCCATTCAGCCGCCTCAGCACCAGTATACACCAGTACCTCTCCATATAGTTTGGTTGTTCTCCGTACCAAAACAAATAATCTTTAGTTCGCACCACAGTACGAAGTTTCTGACACTTTGTAATAATAAAAACAAACAATTTTAACATTTTAGTTTCCAGAGAAAAGGAGCTCAACGATTCAAAATGTCCGACCAGAAGATCCAAAGGACCTGACAGGAAACTCTACACTCGTTCCTTTGGGTAAGTTGGATGAAGAAATGTTGGTGTCTGGTTTAAACGTCCAGGCTGTTGGCACTTTTCCACTTGCAGGCTGGAGCTGCTGATTCGTTGGATTTTACCTGAACTGGCTGCGTTCATTTCCCAGTTAAGACAATGTTGTTTTTTTTTTATTGGAGCACAACTGGGTGACCTTTGACCCACTTCTACAAACTTTTTCTATCATTACAAACAGCTTCTAGACGAGTCTCCTTCCTCACAAACAAAACTTGTGTGATCGTTTGACGAACAGACACACGATCATCCTCATGATGAACTAACTGATGAACAGACACCTGATCATCCTCACAATAAACTAACAGATGAACAGACACGATCATCCTCATGATGAATTGATTTATGAACAGACACACAATCATCCTCACGATGAACTAACTGATGAACAGACACACGATGAACTAACTGATGAACAGACACGATCATCCTCACAATTAACCAACTGTTGAACAGACACACGATCATCCTCACAATGAACTAATTGATGAACAGACACAATCATCTTCACAATGAACTAAGTGATGAACAGACACGATCATCCTCACAATGAACTAAGTGATGAACAAACACAATCATCCTCACGATGAACTAACTGATGAACAGACACGATCATCCTCACGATGAACTAACTGATGAACAGACACCTGATCATCCTCACAATAAACTAACAGATGAACAGACACGATCATCCTCATGATGAACTAACTGATGAACAGACACACGATCATCCTCACAATGAACTAACTGATGAACAGACACGATAATCTTCACGATGAACTAATTGATGAACAGACACACGATGAACTAACTGATGAACAGACACGATCCTCCTCACAATTAACTAATTGATGAACTGAGACGATCATCCTCATGATGAACTAACTGATGAACACACGATCATCCTCACAATGAACCAACTGTTGAACAGACACACGATCATCCTCACGATGAACTAACTGATGAACAGACACGATCATCCTCACGATTAACTAACTGATGAACAGACACACGGTCATCCTCACGATGAACTAACTGATGAACAGACACACGATCATTCGCACAATGAACTAACTGATGAAGAGACACACAATCATCCTCACGATGAACTAACTGATGAACAGACACCCGATCATCCTCACGATGAACTAACTGATGAACAGACACACGATCATCCTCACAATGAACTAACTGATGAACAGACACACGATCATCCTCACGATGAACTAACTGATGAACAGA